TGCCCGTGCCCTGCCCGGGCGCCGAGGCCGCGCTCGGTGCCCCCGGGTGCCGCTGCTGCGGGCAGGGCCGAGCCCCGGTGCCCGGGCACAGCCCTGAGGGACACCCCTGCTCCCCGGGCTGCCGCGGCTCCTGGAGCCGCTGCCCACGAGCCCCCGGCACGGCCGTGCGGCCAATTCCTCGTGCCCTGGGCAGCGCGGCCTGCAAAGCCGGGGCTCGGCACTGCGGGGCTGGGGCTGCCGTGTGCCAGCGGGGCCAAAGCCTCGCAGGGCTCGGGGCACAGCCGGGCCCGCCAGGACACCGCTCCGGGGATGCTCCCAGCCAGCTCCTGTCTGCTCCGCTGCTGTTGGGGTTCCGGGGTGGCCCTTTGTTATGTGGGACGTGGTGGTGGCCAGAGACCCTTGTGACATCAGGGAGTTCCACCCGGGCTGAGGGTCTCCAAGGGGCGCGGAGCCCTGGGTTGCCCAGTCCCAGGAGAGCCGCTCTCTGAGGAGGACGCAGCTCCCTGGTTCTGTCTGCGCCAGACGCCAACAGCCACAGACAACAGAGACGAGGACAAAGGCAACTCCAGCTCCCAGTCCATCCGACCTGTGCCCATCTGGCTCTTTGCTGAAATGGACCGCAAGCTTTCCCACGACGATGTCCAGAAGTTTTCCCACGGGGAAGGTGAGAGGTTTGCAGAACTGTCACCATGCGAACAAGAGCTCTTCTCCCACATGTCCCAGTGGAAAAATAGCAGAGAACCAGACTTCTACCAAGTGATAGACAGCAGTGACAACGAGCTGTTGCAAGGACCAGACGCCAGAGCACAAGAGCTGCCCCAGTGGCCAGATATTGAAGACCAAAAGCTGTCCCGACGGGAGGAGCATGTGAGCAGTCAGGAGCTGTCCCAATGGAGAAAGGACATAGCCGTGCAAACGGTGAGTGAGGAGAAGCACCAGCCTTGTCGCCAGCTGGGACCCAGCCCTCCCAGCCCCAAGGGCACAGCGGTGGCAGCAGAGGCAGCACCTGCCCTGCTTAGCCCCTCTCCTGCCCTGCTTAGCCCCTCTCCTGCCCCACAGAGTCCCACGGAGCAGAACATCGACTGGGAGATGCTGGGCGAGGTGCTGCAGGAGGTCCAGGCACTGAAGCTGGAGCTGCTTGCCCTTCAACAGGTGTTGGCTGGGGATGAATCAGTAGACACAGCCAAAAATGAAGAGAGCTCAGTGCTTTCCCCACACAGCACCCCCAGCCCCTTGCCTGCCCAGCTGAGTTCCCAAGCCCCCAGGGAGCAGCAGGAGGAGGGGGCAGCATCAGCATCTGTGCGGGCAGTGCAGGAGAGCGAGGATGGGACCTTGACTGGGGAGGACAAAGACTGGGAAGATGACATCGATTCAGAGCTCTCCCAGTGGGAAAATAAGGAACAGGCAGAGGTGTCCCACAGAGAAATGAACAACTCCCAAGAAGTGTCCCAGGGGCAAGAGTGCCCTGAGCAGGAGCCGTGCAGCCAAGGGCCGGCGCCTGCCCCGCACAGCCCCCCAGCCCCTGGCCTGCCCGGCTGGGAGCCCAGGCCCTCCGCGGGCAGCCGGCTGCCCCCGGGAAACGTCCCTCCCGCTTCAGGCGGGCGCTGCGGGCGCTGCGGGGGCTGTTCTGCTGTTCCTGCCTCAGGCCACGGACTGCAGAGTAAAACGGACACGGGAAAAAATAAAGAGGACAAAGATGACATGGCAGATGAAGAAGATGAAGACAGAGAAGAAGATGAAGACAAATAGGATGAAGAAGAGAAAAAAGAGGAAGAAGACAAAGATGAAGAGTAAAAAGACAAGACAGAGAACATTTATTTAAGAGTAGATAGAAGAATATAGTAATAGGGATTTAGTAATACTTAGAAGAAGAGTACTAGGAATAGGAATAAGAATTTCAAAATATGTAGAAGAAGAGGAATAGGAATAAGAATTTTAAAATATGTACTAGAAGAAGAAAAAGAAGAATAGGAATATGAATAAGAATATAAAAATACATAGAAGTAGCAAAGAAGAAGAATAGTAAGAAAGAGTAGGAAGTAGAAGAAGAGCCATAAGAAGAATAAGAATAGAAAAATGAAGAGAAAATTGAAGGAATAAGTAAAATTAGCAAATAATTTCTTTTTATTACATATTGTATATTTCTATTTCAGTCTATGAAATAAAAGCATTAGTATACATTATGTTGTAATTACAATATATTATAATGTCCCCACGCTGTTCCCGTTATTGAAGAATCTGTGTGTTTTCTAACAACGTCTCACAGAACCCCAGAATCCCTGGGGCTGGAAAAGCTCTCCCAGCCCATGGAGTCCCAGCTGGGCCCCATGCCCACCTTGTCCCCAGCCCAGAGCACTCAGTGCCACCTCCAGGCCTTCCCTGGCAGGGATGGGCACTCCAAACCCCCCTGGGCAGCCCCTGCCAAGGCCTGAGCACCCTTTCCATGGGGAAATTCCTGCTGCTGTCCAAGCTGAGCCTCTGCTGGCCCAGCCTGAGGCCGTTTCCCCTTGTCCTGTCCCTGTTCCCTGGAGCAGAGCCCGACCCCCTGGCTGTCCCCTCCTGGCAGGGGGTACAGAAGGATTGTTCCTTTCCTAGGCCCTCTCCTCCTGCTATCTGCTTTCCAGAACTGAAAAGGAATTACTGAAGGATGACAAATCCCTCACGAATATTTGGGACTGGAGGTGCGCCCATTTCTTGTGTCCAAGTGTCTCCCTCCTCCCTCACCCAAAATCCAACAGCACAGAGTCCCTAGGCCTCTTCTCCAAGCAGCATGGCACTGCAGAGTTAATAGGGGTGGGTGACCCTAAACTCAAAGAAACCAGAAATAGAAAGTTCAATGAGAAATACGAGGCGATACGAGAAACTGCACAGCACCAAAATAGCGTTTCTGCACCTTAAAGTAGATTTGTTCTACAGGTTGGTTTTTATGTTGGGGTTTTTTTTCAAAATTTGCAAGCCTATATGGTAGGGAAAATCGTTTTAATTGCTCTTAGACACCCAAATAACTAAATGTAAGCACACACATAACCCACTGGCATGATGTGCTCACTCCTGCCTACGCCAACACTGAGATTTAGAAAACAGTTCATTCAGCCTGATAACAGCATGGGACATCACTCACACTGGGTTTTCTTCTCCAGGGATGGAAAGTCTCCTTCATAGGCAGTGATACCCTTGCAGGATGCCTGCAGCCCAGCTGGGAAGGGCACAGCTGGTGTTTGGCCCCCAGAATCATTGAGATTGGAAAAGACCTTCAAGATCATCAAGTCCAATCTGTGCCCAATGCCCACCTTATCCCCAGCCCAGAGCATGAAGGGCCACCTCCAGGCCTTCCCTGGCAGGGATGGGCACTGCAAACCCCCCTGGGCAGCCCCTGCCAAGGCCTGAGCACCCTTTCCATGGGGAAATTCCTGCTGCTGTCCAAGCTGAGCCTCTGCTGGCCCAGCCTGAGGCCGTTTCCCCTTGTCCTGTCCCTGTTCCCTGGAGCAGAGCCCGACCCCCCGGCTGTCCCCTCCTGGCAGGGGGTACAGAAGGATTGCTCCTTTCCTAGGCCCTCTCCTCTTGCTATCTGCTTTCCAGAACTAATAAGGAATTACTGAAGGATGACAAATCCCTCATGAATATTTGGGACTGGAGGTGCGCCCATTTCTTGTGTCCAAGTGTCTCCCTCCTCCCTCACCCAAAATCCAACAGCACAGAGTCCCTAGGCCAGCATTCTCTGTGCAGGAGCAGCAGGAGGGAAGTTTGATGACTTTTGACCCACAGGGACCTCTAATTATTCCAGTTTAGTATTTAGGATGTCTTTTCAAACCAGTGTATGACAGAACAATGCAATCAAAAGTGGTTTTCTATCCCAAGAAGAGTAAAACATTCATTTATTGCTCCCAAACAGACTAAAGCCTGTGGGTTTAGTGTCACATCTCGCACAGCTCGGCCCTGGAGCGCTGCTGCCGCGGCCGAGCGCAGCCCCTGGGGCCGCTGTGCGGGTGCATTTGAAGGGCTCGGACACAATGGCAGCGCCGTGTGTCTTTGTGCTCCAGGTCTGCGCTGCCCGTGCGGGCGGAGCGGGGCTGGCGGGAGCCGCGCTCCCCTCAGAGCCCCTGAGGGCGGCAGCGATGGCGGCGCCGCTCCCTCAGCGCCCGGCCCCGGCCCCGGCGGGCGGGGAGCCCTCGGCAGCGCCCGGCCGGCAGCGGGGAGCGAGCCCCGGCCCGGCCGCTGTGCCCGTGGCGCCGCAGAGGCGAGGGGAGAGCCGCAGGAGCCGCTGCCTCGGGCACTGCCCCGGGCCGGGGGCAGCAGCCGGGCCCGGCCCTGCGGCAGCGCAGGAGGCTCTGGCGGTGCCGCTTCTCCAGCTCGGCCCGGTGCCCGGGCACGGCCCCGGCCTTGGGGCTGCCCCTGCCCCGCTCAGCTGCCCGTGCCCTGCCCGGGCGCCGAGGCCGCGCTCGGTGCCCCCGGGTGCCGCTGCTGCGGGCAGGGCCGAGCCCCGGTGCCCGGGCACAGCCCTGAGGGACACCCCTGCTCCCCGGGCTGCCGCGGCTCCTGGAGCCGCTGCCCACGAGCCCCCGGCACGGCCGTGCGGCCAATTCCTCGTGCCCTGGGCAGCGCGGCCTGCAAAGCCGGGGCTCGGCACTGCGGGGCCGGGGCTGCCGTGTGCCAGCGGGGCCAAAGCCTCGCAGGGCTCGGGGCACAGCCGGGCCCGCCAGGACACCGCTCCGGGGATGCTCCCAGCCAGCTCCTGTCTGCTCCGCTGCTGTTGGGGTTCCGGGGTGGCCCTTTGTGATGTGGGACATGATGGTGGCCAGAGACCCTTGTGACATCAGGGAGTTCCACCCGGGCTGAGGGTCTCCAAGGGGCGCGGAGCCCTGGGTTGCCCAGTCCCAGGAGAGCCGCTCTCTGAGGAGGACGCAGCTCCCTGGTTCTGTCTGCGCCGGACGCCAACAGCGACAGACAACAGAGACGAGGACAAAGGCAACTCCAGCTCCCAGTCCATCCGACCTGTGCCCATCTGGCTCTTTGCTGAAATGGACCGCAAGCTTTCCCACGACGATGTCCAGAAGTTTTCCCACGGGGAAGGTGAGAGGTTTGCAGAACTGTCACCATGCGAACAAGAGCTCTTCTCCCACATGTCCCAGTGGAAAAATAGCAGAGAACCAGACTTCTACCGAGTGATAGACAGCAGTGACAACGAGCTGTTGCAAGGACCAGACGCCAGAGCACAAGAGCTGCCCCAGTGGCCAGATATTGATGAACGAAAGCTGTCCCGACGGGAGGAGCATGTGAGCAGTCAGGAGCTCTCCCAATGGAGAAAGGACATAGCCGTGCAAACGGTGAGTGAGGAGAAGCACCAGCCTTGTCGCCAGCTGGGACCCAGCCCTCCCAGCCCCAAGGGCACAGCGGTGGCAGCAGAGGCAGCACCTGCCCTGCTTAGCCCCTCTCCTGCCCTGCTTAGCCCCTCTCCTGCCCCACAGAGTCCCACGGAGCAGAACATCTACTGGGAGATGCTGGGCGAGGTGCTGCAGGAGGTCCAGGCACTGAAGCTGGAGCTGCTTGCCCTTCAACAGGTGTTGGCTGGGGATGAATCAGTAGACACAGCCAAAAATGAAGAGAGCTCAGTGCTTTCCCCACACAGCACCCCCAGCCCCTTGCCTGCCCAGCTGAGTTCCCAAGCCCCCAGGGAGCAGCAGGAGGAGGGGGCAGCATCAGCATCTGTGCGGGCAGTGCAGGAGAGCGAGGATGGGACCTTGACTGGGGAGGACAAAGACTGGGAAGATGACATCGATTCAGAGCTCTCCCAGTGGGAAAATAAGGAACAGGCAGAGGTGTCCCACAGAGAAATGAACAACTCCCAAGAAGTGTCCCAGGGGCAAGAGTGCCCTGAGCAGGAGCCGTGCAGCCAAGGGCCGGCGCCTGCCCCGCACAGCCCCCCCAGCCCCTGGCCTGCCCGGCTGGGAGCCCAGGCCCTCCGCGGGCAGCCGGCTGCACCCGGGAAACGTCCCTCCCGCTTCAGGCGGGCGCTGCGGGCGCTGCGGGGGCTGTTCTGCTGTTCCTGCCTCAGGCCACGGACTGCAGAGTAAAACGGACACGGGAAAAAATAAAGAGGACAAAGATGACATGGCAGATGAAGAAGATGAAGACAGAGAAGAAGATGAAGACAAATAGGATGAAGAAGAGAAAAAAGAGGAAGAAGACAAAGATGAAGAGTAAAAAGACAAGACAGAGAACATTTATTTAAGAGTAGATAGAAGAATATAGTAATAGGGATTTAGTAATACTTAGAAGAAGAGTACTAGGAATAGGAATAAGAATTTCAAAATATGTAGAAGAAGAAGAATAGGAATAAGAATTTTAAAATATGTACTAGAAGAAGAAAAAGAAGAATAGGAATATGAATAAGAATATAAAAATACATAGAAGTAGCAAAGAAGAAGAATAGTAAGAAAGAGTAGGAAGTAGAAGAAGAGCCATAAGAAGAATAAGAATAGAAAAATGAAGAGAAAATTGAAGGAATAAGTAAAATTAGCAAATAATTTATTGTTATTACATATTGTATATTTCTATTTCAGTCTATGAAATAAAAGCATTAGTATACATTATGTTGTAATTACAATATATTATAATGTCCCCACGCTGTTCCCGTTATTGAAGAATCTGTGTGTTTTCTAACAACGTCTCACAGAACCCCAGAATCCCTGGGGCTGGAAAAGCTCTCCCAGCCCATGGAGTCCCAGCTGGGCCCCATGCCCATCTTGTCCCCAGCCCAGAGCACTCAGTGCCACCTCCAAGGCCTTCCCTGGCAGGGATGGGCACTCCAAACCCCCCTGGGCAGCCCCTGCCAAGGCCTGAGCACCCTTTCCATGGGGAAATTCCTGCTGCTGTCCAAGCTGAGCCTCTGCTGGCCCAGCCTGAGGCCATTTCCCCTTGTCCTGTCCATGTTCCCCTGGAGCAGAGCTCGACCCCCCGGCTGTCCCCTCCTGGCAGGGGGTACAGAAGGATTGCTCCTTTCCTAGGCCCTCTCCTCCTGCTATCTGCTTTCCAGAACTAAAAAGGAATTACTGAAGGATGACAAATCCCTCACGAATATTTGGGACTGGAGGTGCGCCCATTTCTTGTGTCCAAGTGTCTCCCTCCTCCCTCACCCAAAATCCAACAGCACAGAGTCCCTAGGCCTCTTCTCCAAGCAGCATGGCACTGCATAGTTAATAGGGGTGGGTGACCCTAAACTCAAAGAAACCAGAAATAGAAAGTTCAATGAGAAATACGAGGCGATACGAGAAACTGCACAGCACCAAAATAGCGTTTCTGCACCTTAAAGTAGATTTGTTCTACAGGTTGGTTTTTATGTTGGGGTTTTTTTTCAAAATTTGCAAGCCTATATGGTAGGGAAAATCGTTTTAATTGCTCTTAGACACCCAAATAACTAAATGTAACCACACACATAACCCACTGGCATGATGTGCTCACTCCTGCCTACGCCAACACTGAGATTTAGAAAACAGTTCATTCAGCCTGATAACAGCATGGGACATCACTCACACTGGGTTTTCTTCTCCAGGGATGGAAAGTCTCCTTCATAGGCAGTGATACCCTTGCAGGATGCCTGCAGCCCAGCTGGGAAGGGCACAGCTGGTGTTTGGCCCACAGAATCCCAGAATCATTGAGGTTGGAAAAGACCTTCAAGATCATCAAGTCCAATCTGTGCCCAATGCCCACCTTATCCCCAGCCCAGAGCATGAAGGGCCATGTCCAGTCCTTCCTTAGACACCTTCAGGGATGGAGACCAATCTTCTCTGGGCAACCCCTTCCAATGCTTGTCAACCCTCTCCATGAAGAAATTTCTCCCAATATTTAACCTGAACCTCCCTAGGTGCAACTTGATGGCATTTCCTTTTGTTCTGTCCCTTGCTCCCTGAGAGAAGAGGGCAGGAGAACTCCCTAGGCTGGCTGCAAGAGCTGGCCAAAGTGTGCACAGGTAAACAAAACCAGCCCTAGAGCAGAAAGTCCCAGAAGAAAACTGGATCTCTCCTTTTCCTGAATAAACTGGTACAGATCTGAATTGGATGAGAGAAGACAAATCCTGGGAAGGACAACGGGTCAGGATCTTGCTAGAAGGGCATTGCTGCAGGAGGAAATTGAGGAAGCAGACACTGGTAGGATGTGGAAACTGGAACCTGTCCTGACAGCGTGGATTTTTTTTTTTTACCAAGTGCTTTGTTGAGCTGGGCATCCCTGATGTACATTGCAGGCACAGAGTGATATTAACTCCACTGCTCAGTGCTGGTCCCTGCTCAGGGGCCAGACTCACATGTCCTCTGCTCCCTTAGGCAGCCTGGCCCTTCTGAGCCTTCCTTGGGACTCCCAAAAGCACAGTGTTCCCATCCTATGTTCCTGTTATTTGTAACAGCAGAGCTCTTGGCAGGGCAGAATTTCTTTATTTCAATTTTGGTTTGTTTGCTAAAAGATGGTGGAGCATGGCAAACACTGAAAAGATAATTGTCTGAAATGTCAAACTTTTTTTTTTCCCAGCACTATGCGACTATTTAAGGATTCAAAGGTGTGTAAAAGCCTCCACCTAATGAGCAAATCAGAGTGCATCATTTGGCTCCTGGCAAAACAAGGCAGTTTGAATGCTTAGTCTGTGTGGGTTTGGTTTCTCACTGTTCCCTCTGCAACTCAGTGCTCACAGATGCAGCATCTCTTCCCTGCCTTCTTTCCCCAAACTGCTTTTAACCCAGTAACCTCTTTTCTTCTTCCTTTGACCACCTCCACAGCTGGATTTTTTTTTAGCTTTGGACACACCCACATTCTAGGCATGTCCAGAAAAAATTGACCAATTAAGTCATCCAAAGCCCCGAGCATAGTTAACATTAATTTAGAACATGAAAAGAGCAACACACCTTCGTGGGGCTTTGCCAATTACACGGTGTTTCAGCCAAATGCAAATCGTGCCAGAATAGAAATTCCAAACTGTGCATTATGTTCATTTCTAAACCCTGTTAACTTAATTAACTCTTGGTTAAATGTGCACTGATCTCAGATGTAAAGCATGTTTGATGAGGCATGAGGTATTTTTCATTAGGCAAAAGAAAGAATTTGGAATGTGCAAACCATTTGCAACAAGAGAAAAGATTCCCTTCCTCAAATTGTATACAACTCACACCCAATTTGTGGTCAGGTTTATTTTCTACTTGTACTTTGTAATGCTCTTGTCAGTTTTGCTTGGATCACAAAGCATCATTTGAGCAACTCTATCCATCCAATGTGGAAGATAATATTCTGTGTTGTCAGTACCATTTAAAATTCAGGAACTGGTAATATGAAAACTGATTGAACTATCCAACACAGGTTGTATTTAACCTGTGTTGCCACTGCTAAATCCACACACCGAGTGGCTGCTTGGTGCAATTATTGGAGGCACAAGTCCAGATCCTCAGATCCTGTACCCAGGAGGCAGATAGCCAGTTCTAAAAATAAATAAATAATAGGGAAGGGGCTTATCATTCTTAGCAGAGCTGTGGCATTTTTTAGTGAATACAGATCCACACCAGAAATAACTAGAGGAAGGTGCACTTCACTAGCTGCTTAGAACTTTGCTGTTTGGAAATTGATTATTATCTCAGGATACTTTGCTGGTTCTTTTGGGGTCTGTTTTTTCTTTGTGGGGGGATGATGTTGTATTTTTTTTAAAGAAAGAAAGAAAAAAAAAAGCCAAAAATGAAATGTGATACCTGAATATGATGCACACTAAGGCAGGGATTCCAACTTGGCAAATAGGAAAGTAATCTGGCTGCCTCCCAAAGCAGATGCCATAAAAACAAATTGTTATTGCCAGGGAAGACAGGCATTCCTGACTGCATAAAAAGGAATTAAATTGTTTAACAACTCTGCTCTGTCCTCGAATTGAGGCAGCAGAAAGCTCCTTCCCCCTAGAATCCTGAGCACTGTGAGAAGCAGCTTCAAAAATCACAGCTGGATGCATCTGTTCTTCTTTCTCTACACAAAGTGAATTCTGAAGCCAGAATGAAGGCCAGCTGAAGGAGTAACATCAAACTGATGTCGCCCACATTTTTCACCCCTCACCTATGGCTGCAAAATAAACCACAGGTGAGTAACATCCTCTTGTGGGCACACACAAGAGAGGCTTCCAGAGAGGAGAGCACTGCACTGACACTGAAAAAACAGGCAAGCAGGGCACCCTGCAGCCATTTTCCTGTCATTGGGTATGGTAAAGAACAAGAAGAGACAGATACCATGACAGGTCCAAAAATAACATCCCTCAGTTAAACAGAGTTATGGTGTCTGGCTGTGGGCTATATTTCCTGTGGCCAGTCAGTTGCCAGCACAGTAACATTTCCCAGCTTTCCTCAGTGCTAAGCTGAAAGGAAATGGTCCCCTGCCACCCTCAGAATAGAAACATTCAGACTCTGGGAGGCTACACCATCTCTGTCTTTTAGCATCAGCAAGTCCAGAAAAAGCCTCAAAGGGCATTTTGATTTCTGTTTCTTCTTTGTGATTGCAGAGGTGGGCAGAGCAGTGCACAAGCTCCAGTGTTTATTTCTGCTGCAGCTTCCTTTGATGTACAGTCGGCTCCATCCCATCCCTGATTCCATCTCCACATTCCCTGCTCAGGAAGCCTCTGTACACAGGATTTCCCATGTGGCTGAGTGACCACAGCCAGTTTATTCAGCACTCTGTGAACCCAGAACTACTTTTGTCACGCGAGCTGAGGTGCTGCTCATCCCAAGCCTGCTCCTCCTCCCAACACCCCCTAGTTACCTTATTCTCTAGATATATTGCTATTTTTTTAAACAGCATCTTGTCAAAAGTTATTCTTAATTTGCTTCTTCATAAAACAGACCAGCATATCTCACCTTTCCTGCAACTCAGTACCAGCAGATGTTTGTTCAATGCTTGCCCATGACAATTTCTGCTGATGCAACACATGTTACTTCAAAGCAACCCTTTGAACCTGAATTGGACTACAAGCCTCATACACACGCTTTAATTTTGCTTACTAGAAGATTCTTGGTTTAGCATGAAGTCAATTTGCATACTGATAGATCTCTTCCCCTTCCAGTCACAATATAAAAAGTTAACATACTGCTGTCGTAATTCAGTGCACATCAAATCTGATTCCTTTTGATGCATTCAGCCACCTACTGTCACTTTAATGCATTTTCCCTGCACATGCAGGCACCCTTTTTCATGTGAAAACATTTACATTGGCACTCAATTCAGTTAATTTTTCCCCCAAAGTTGAAATATCCAAATAGAGGTGTATTCATCTCCTCAAAAGAGTCAACAATTTCAAGTTAGAGAAATGGAGAAAGAGGAACTATCCCATTTTTAAAACAATTGAAT